TGCCCTTATTGTATTATATTTAATCTTCCTTGTGTTATTTTAAGGATTTAGATAATATTTATTATTGCTTTTCTGGCAGTAAACTATCCTATTTCAACTTTCCTCCTCTCTTCCCTTTGACTTATTCTTGTCTAACTACCCTCTGACTGTGAGCAGTCTCCAGTAACCTTTATTAAGGGTCATCTATGTACACAAAGTGTTTTATATGCATGAGTTTATTTAATCCTTGCAACAACCCTACAAGGCTGGTATAGTGAATCCCTTTTGTGAAACCATGGATACTCAGCTCTTGACTCACTACTATAGGATAAATGCATGCCTACAGACCCTTAAGCCAACATAATATCCATAAGGGGAAGCTCTCAAAATTCTTTCCTGTCTAGTCCCATTTCTATAAAATTAGTCCCATTTCAATAAATTCCAATTTGGCCATCTGTTAGTTCCTCTAGAATTCCATCTCACCAATTCTACCTCAAAATATTTTCTATCATTTTTTCCTGTCCTTGTTTTTGGATTCCTCAAGTTATCCCATCTAATCTCAATTAATTTGACTTGGCTTTCCTCGTCCTTTCTGTCCTACTGTTCTTTATTTTATTTTCCTTATAGGAAGTAAAAAGTTACCAGTTAGCTCTCTAAATCCCACTCCTCCCACAAGTATCTGTTACCACATTTTCCCCCTAAAAAGTTCTAGCTCTTCAAATCTGTACTTAGTATTATCACTCCATCTGATTCTGTGTGGAGGGCCACTTCCTCTAGTGGGATGAGTCATCCTCCCCCTCCTTTCAGTACCCCAAATTAGCACTGGCCCTGGGAAGTCCTGCTCTGTGGAGCCCACTACCACTGCCCTCATAAACAATTGAAGATCCCAAACTTGAGAATTTTTGTGGTGAGTTCTCTCATAACATCAGAGTCCTCTGTATCTGGATATGCTATATTTGTCTCTCTCTATCCATCCTTGTTTTCCACAACATGCCTCCTCTACTGTAGGTAGCACCCATAGATATTCCATGCTCATATTCCATACTCATTCCTACTTTATTCCTTCATTCTACTGCTCCCCTGACTTGTAACACTTCACTGTTTGCTATCAGATATATCCTCCACATCCTTCAAGGACCAATTGCTCTATTTTAACTACCCTCTTCTAACATTTATATTTAGCAATCTAAAACTACACAATGTACCAAAACTCTTACATTCTTTTCTGCTTCATGTGTATCTATCTTGTATCCTCCAGTAGATTATATAAGGTCCTTAAGGTTGGAGACAATGTCTTGTCTTTCTTCTCTGTTTTCTACAGCTCCTAGCCGAATATGGGAGCCAATAACAGGCACTCAGAAGCATTGAATAATTGATTGATTGATTGATTGATTGAATTGTTGATAGGCCATGGCTTTTGTCTTCTCTGCTTCAGGTATGTGGAGAGCCAACGCCATACCATTCAGGGAGACTATATAGATACCATGGAAGAGCTTGCTGATCTGGTGGGCGTCAGGCCCAATCTGCTGTCTCTGGCTTTCACTGACCCCAAATTGGCAGTACAGCTATTTTGGGGACCCTGCACTCCAATCCAGTATCGTCTTCAAGGCCCTGGAAAATGGAATGGAGCCCGAAAAGCTATCCTCACCACAGAAGATCGTATCAGGAAGCCAATGATGACTAGAGTGATTGAAAGCAGTAATTCCATGACTTCAACAATAACAATGGCCAGGTTTATGCTGGCTGTTATTTTCTTTGCTATACTTATGACCTACTTTTAGCTGTCCCATTTGTCATTGCCCTAGTTTTTTTTTGGAAAATTGGATCTACAGATGCCTTAAGAATCTGATGAGATTGAACAACCCTCAGCTTCACATTGCCCAGGAATCTACTTTTATTGCTTTTGCCAAAGCATTAATCCTCTGTCCTCTTTTCCCTAGAGTGAGATGCTAGCTTTTCATTCATATTGATTTCCCTCCCTTCCTTTCATGACCCATCACTTTTTCCTTTTAGTAACCCCTGGACTATGAGCACAGGTATTCTTTTAGCCATCTTTGTTTGTCCTTAGCAGACTTCTTTACATGTGGTATGTGCTTAATAAATGTTTGTTTTCATTTATCAAATATTATGGTGGGGAGCAAAAGTCAATATCTGTATAAGAAATGGGTGACTCCATGTAATTCTGTAGCTGATAGGATTTGGTTTTCTATTAGAAGCTCAATCTTTTGTTTTTTTTTAATATTGTAACTAAATGTATATCTCCTGACAGATAAGAGAAATAATGGTCTTGTATACATCTAAGATAAGATATATAAACACTTAACCATTTTATTTCACTAGCTACTCACTAGTATGTGTGATACTCTTTTCCCCTAAGCAGCATGTCTTTATTTTTTCAATGAGAAAACTTTCTTCAGCTTTCTAGGCTCATGGGTCATTCTAATAATCTAGCATCTGCCAATAGGTTCAACTTGGTTGAAAAATTTGGGATTTTAAGTTAGCTGTCCTATCTTCTTTTGATCTCTTAGTTCCCATATTAGGATCCAATACGACTTTGTCTTAGATCCGTAGCTGCCAACTTTTGTAGTATGGCCTATGTATGTGATTTGATTTGTCATCCTTTACTCCTACTTTCTCCTCTCTACTCCCTCACACACACAGAATCTAAGTAGTACGTATTCAAAGAGGTCATTTATGTATTAAAACAGGATTAAGGGGCGCCTGGGTGGCTCAGTCGTTAAGCGTCTGCCTTCAGCTCAGGTCATGGTCCCAGGGTCCTGGGATCAAGCCCCATGTCAGGCTCCCTGCTCAGGGGAAGCCTGCTTCTCCCTCTCCCACTCCCCCTGCTTGTGTTCCCTCTATTGCTGTCTCTCTCTCTGTCAAATAAATAAATAAATAAATAAAATCTTAAAAAAAAAAACAGGTTTGAGGGGTGCCTGGGTGGCTCAGTTGGTTGAGTGTCCAACTCTTAATTTCGGCTCAGGTCATGATCTCAGGGTTGTGAGATCCTGCAGCAGGCTCACATGCTGGGTGTGAAGTCTGCTTAAGATTCTCCTTCTCCCTCTCTCATTCCCCATTCCCCTCTCTAAAAAATAAATTATAAATAAATAAATAGGATTGATGTTAACTAAATATAGGGACATTCTGCTTATAACAGTTCTTTAATGTCATACAATGTAGTTCTGAAAAACAGAGCAAATGAAATGAAAAGCAGGGACTTCCATTTATGTCCTAGGACTGCTGTTGATTCCTTTTTCTCATTTGTAGAAGATTTGTTCTGTTTTTGTCTCACAAAGTTAAGTAAGTGTTAACTGTTAGGCACACCGAATTTCATCAGGAATGATACTGGATGTACCAGCCAGTCTTATATTCATAAATAAACTGTTCTGCAATACATTTTAGCATTGCTGCCTATTATTTAACAAAAGGATAAATGTGAACAAGGAACAACCTTAGAAAGTATTATCTTTCCCAGTGTGAATACACATAGGAGAACCAGACTCCTATGTGAGAACTACAACTTCCTCCTAATCATTGAACTCTATACCCAGTTCCATGCCATTTGGCTTAATTTACCTGTGGAAATTCCTTTTGAGATTTAGAGAACTGAGACATAATATTACTTCTTAGGTCTTTTTCCTTCCCTAAAACTTGTGATACTGATGATTTATCATCTATAAAAATAGACCTAGTATCTTACAATCTGCAGATTATTCTAGTTCAAAAGTAAATTAAACGTTGCTTGCTTCTTTTTCATTTTCTTCTTTTAACATATAAATTTGCCTCTTTTAACATGTAAGCTTATTGAATGAACAATCCTTTGATAATACAATATCAATAAGTATCCCAGTTTCCTCTTTTAAGTAAAAAGTGTGTCATTCTAAATTCATTGACTCTCTCATTTTACTTACAATATGCAAGGTTACTGAAAAAAAAAAAATCATTGGTTAACTTCTAAACCAAGCCAAAAGTAAGATATGAACAGGAAACTGAACTAAAAACAACTCAAGATACAAAGCCCTAGTTGCTGATGATTGTGTACTAATCTTCATTAATATACCATACCTTGCTTTTCTAATTATGTTGAAAGGTTGTATCACTTTCCCATTATATCATTTCCCATTATATTACACACACACACACACACACACACACACATTCTTGTTGTGCCAGAAACTAAGAAAGTGCTCAAAAAGCAAACTGATAGGGGTATTTCAAAGGGATACAGAAGCCAACTGAAAGTGGTCGCAATGGCCAAGGGCAAAACAATCTGAGCAACAAAATAAATGACCTAATGTAATGTATCCTGGATAGGAACTGGAACATAAGAAGAAAATTAAGTAACAAATATGAGGTGGGTGAGTGTGTTCTGGGGGTGCGGCCGCTGCTGCCACCACTGTGCAGAACCAGAGCAGGAGCCACTGTGGGGGG